GATAGACTACTGTCTCGTTATGAAAAAAAGCATCGTCTGTGACTGACTGAATTTCTTTGATTTTGTAAAGCTAATAAATCATTGTTTATGGATTGCAGTTTGCCAAGGGAAAAGAGGCAAGCGCCATACCCCAAGCAAGCCATTGATGAAAGTCGGATGAATGGGCAGAGTTTGTTTGCCTTCATATGGAATAGGAGGATTTTTGGAAAAACTTGATATTTTTAATATGTACTAATTTTGTCTATAATATATAATGTACAAATTTTGTCTATAATATACATCCTTTTTTTCCCTGAAAATTTTTGAGGTTTTCATAATATAAAGAAAAAACAAATTGCGGAACCCACGTGTAATAACTTCCAACGACATAATATGTAAAAAAGACGTAAAATGATATTTAGACGTGATATACCGTTTGTACGTACATGGGCGTCGTTTTAGTGAAAATTGCGCCATGGTTTCGCTTTTAACGACGTCCTTTGAACAAGTAAGTCGTTTATTATATAATTTACAGTTTAGGGTTTAGGTAATACTTTTTAACGATGGTGATTGATTCAGGCGTCGTGGAATATATTTTCCGTCGGATGGTGAAACATCCGCCATGGTTTCTCTTTTAAACGACGTCATTTTTACAAGTGAGTCGTTTATTATTATTACAACGTCGTGGTTTGTTGTTGATATAAGAATATTTTATTATTTTTAATTCAAAATTTTAAAAATAAATTTAAAATAAATCCAAAAAATTCAACTTCAACTCCTATGAAGTCATGATATATTTTCTTCCCCCTAAACCCTAAAAAAATGCAGTTTGAGTAATAAAAGTTTAAAATGACCAACCAAAAAAATGTTTTGATGAGTCATAACATCACTTATATAGTTTGATGGTTTAGGGTTTAGGGTTGGGGTTTAGGGTTGTTATTATTAGGGTTTAGGGTTTTATTGGGGTTTAGGGGTTAAAGTTAATTTTTGGGGTTTAGGTTTATGGTTGTTATATTAGGCTGTAAAACCATAAACAATTTTATAAAATTAAATTTTACAAATATATAATTTATGGTTTTAAAGTTTAGGGTATTACTTTTAACGACGGTGATTGAGGCGTGGAATATTGAGTTTACGTCGGATAGTGAAAAATCCGACATGGTTTCTCTTTTAAACGACGTTTTTTTACACGTGAGTCGTTTATTATCATTTACAAGTCGTTAGTTACTTAACCCGCTGTGGTTTGGTGTTGATATAAGAATATTTTATTATTTTTAATTCAAAATTTTAAAAATAAATTAAAAATAAATCCAAAAAATTCAACTTCAACTTCTATGAAGTCATTGATATATTTTCTTCCCCTAAACCCCAAAAAAATGCAGTTTGAGTAATAAAAGTTTAAAATAACCAATCAAAATAAAATTGTTTTGATGAGTCATAACATCATTATATAGTTTGATGGTTTAGGGTTTAGGGTTTGGGGTTTGGGTTGTTATTTATTAGGGTTTAGGGTTAAAGTATAATTTTGGGGTTTAGGGTTTATGTTTGTTATATATTAGGCTATAAAACCATAAACAATTTTATAAAATTAAATTTTACAAAATATATAATTTATGGTATACTTTAACGACGTGATTGAGTCGTGTAATATTGAGTTTACGTCGGATAGTGAAAAATCGACATGGTTTCTCTTTTAAACGACACGTGAGTCGTTTATTATCATTTACAACGTCGTTAGTTACTTAACCCCGCCGTGGGTTTGTTGTTGATATAAGAAAATATTTTATTATTTTTAATTCAAAATTTTAAAAATAAATTTAAAATAAATCCAAAAAATTCAACTTCAACTCCTATGAAGTCATTGATATATTTTCTTCCCCCTAAACCCCAAAAAATGCAGTTTGAGTAATAAAAGTTTAAAATGACCAACCAAAATAAAATTGTTTTGTGAGTCATAACATCACTTATATAGTTTGTGGTTTAGGGTTTAGGGTTTAGGGTTTGGGGTTTAGGGTTGTTATTTATTAGGGTTTAGGGTTAAAGTATAATTTTGGGGTTTAGGGTTTATGTTTGTTATATTAGGCTGTAAAAACCATAAACAATTTTATAAAATTAAATTTTACAAATATATAAATTTATGGTTTTAAAGTTTAGGGTATTACTTTTAGCGACGGTGTTGAGTCGTGGAATATTGACTTTACGTCGTATGGTGAAAAATCCGCCATGGTTTCTCTTTTAAACGACGTTTGTTTACACGTGAGTCGTTTATTGTTATTTCCAACGTCGTTAATTACTTAACCCCGACGTGGTTTTGCATAGTTTTGACGACTTCTGTTTGATTTTGCGTCGTACATAGTTTTACCATGACGTCCTTAATGTAATAAGCGTCATGTTTAATGTGAAATTTTAACGATGTTTGTTTTTTCGGTCGTGTGTTTTAAAGAGCGCGCTTTCTTAAAATATTCGCGGGACCTAAAATTTTCAGATTTGGCTCTTAGTTTTATACTTCTAACCGTGAACCCTAAATTTTTAGATTTCGCGCAACATAACATTTCGCTCTCTCACTTCATCTCTAATTCAAAGTTGGGCTCTCCAGGCTGTGTCAAATCCAATTTGGTCATAATCTGTGAGCTCTGCCAACCTGTAAGTACAAACCCTCTCTTCCCTTGTAAATTCATTGAATGATATTACATTGTTTTGTTAAAGGATTTTAGGTATATGTTTTGCGATCTGTTAATAATGTTGTTGGAGGTATGGGTTCATGGATTTTCTGTTTAATGTTTTCTTGATCACTCTCTGTTATGTTGAATAGGGAATGGATTTCATTTTGTCGGATCTTTTAATCACTCTCTGTTATGTTGAATTGGGAATGGATTTATTGTTTTCATGCTTAGTATATGTTGGTTTCATGTATATGTTGGTTTCATGCTTGGTTTCATGTATATGTTGTGTTCTTAATAGGGTTTTGGGATCTTGAAATAAACTGGATACCGACGCGTTTTCAGGCATACGACGACAGTTTTTACTTTACCGTCGTTTTTATTACTTATACACGACGGTGTTATTTAACTACCGTCGTGGTTATAATTAGACGACGTAAATCCGTCGTATATATATGTCAAATACGTCTGTTTTTGTTTAAAAACCGTCGTCTTTGTTGTATATTACTTGCTATTAGACTTTATATAATCTGCTATAGTGATGGTCATTGCTTGTCTTTTCACTTTTATATATAATAGGGTATAGTGTCGGAGATGGATAAAGTCATGGATGCACTCGGATAGAAAATCGAAGGCATATGAGTTAGGGGTGGAAGCATTTTTGAACTTTTCTGTAGAAAATCTTCTAACTACAACACCTATCCGTTGTCCATGTGTTAAATGTGTTAATTTGAAATTGTTTGGGGTTGGAATTATAAGGGATCACTTATACTTTAATGGAGTTGACCAAAGCTATAAGAATTGGACATTTCACGGAGAACCTTGGGAAGCAACTACTAATGCTAGTAGAAATGTTGAAGAAGATGATGACCATAGTAGGTACAGTTTTGTGTCTGAAGAAATAGAGATGGATGATAATGATTTTGGTGATTTTGGATCTGATCCTTATGAGTTTGCCAATGTGATTGGGGATGGAGATCAACCATTGTACCTTGGTTGTAGAAAGTACACGAAGTTATCGGCATTAGTGAAGTTGTATAATTTGAAGGCAAACATGGGATGAGTGATGTCTGTTTTACAAAATATTGATACTTCAAGGCGATTTGCTTCCAGAAGGAAATACAATACCGGCCTCTATGTATGAGGCAAAAAAGACTTTGTGTGCATTGGGGCTGAGTTATGAGAAAATGCACGCATGCCCCAATGATTGCATCTTGTATAGGAAGGAGTATGAGGATTTAACTCATTGTCCTACTTGTGGTATCTCAAGGTGGAAGGAAGGCAAAGATTCAATCTTGAAAGAGGGTGTGCCAGCGAAGGTGGTGTGGTATTTTCCTCCAATTCCAAGGTTTAAAAGGATGTTTCGATCACATGAGACCGCTAAGAGTTTGACTTGGCATGCTGCTAGAAAATCAATTGACGGTTATATGTCTCATCCGCGGATTCCCCGTCTTGGAAAACTTCTTGATGATAAATGGCCCGAGTTTGGTAATGAACCGAGAAACTTGAGATTGGCTCTTTCATCTGATGGATTCAATCCCCACAGTTCTCTAAGTAGCAGATATAGTTGCTGGCCAGTTATCTTAGTTACATATAATCTCCCTCTATGGCTGTGCATGAAACGAAAGTTCATGATGTTGACCTTATTGATTTGCGGTCCTAAACAGCCCGGAAATGATATAGATGTCTACTTGGAGCCTTTGATTGATGATTTAACATCTTTGTGGGATGGGATTGGAGGAGTGTATGATGCACATAATGGAGAATACTTTACACTAAGAGCTGCATTAATGTGGACAATTAATGATTTCCCCGCCTATGGAAACTTATCTGGTTGTGTTGTTAAAGGATATAAAGCTTGTCCAATATGCGGCGATGATACACCTAGTCACAGGTTGAAAAATGGCCACAAAATTTGTTACATTGGGCATAGAAAATGGTTACCAATCAATCATCCATATAGGAGGCAACGTGCAGCTTTTAATGGGAAACCTGAATATGGCACGCCTCCTGAGCCATTAACCGGAGAAGAAGTGCTGCATATGGTTGAAGATGGTGACAGAGTTTGTTGGAAGAAGAAATCAATATTCTTTGATCTCGAGTATTGGAAATACCTTCCTGTGAGGCATGTCCTAGATGTTATGCACATTGAGAAGAATGTTTGCGATAGTATCATTGGTACATTGCTGGAGATCCCTGGAAAAAATAAAGATGGGATTGCTGCTCGATTAGATTTATTGAACATGGGGGGTCAAAACTGATTTGCAACCCGAGTATGGAGAAAGACGTACTCGTTTGCCTCCCGGGCCTTGGAATTTGTCAAGAGCAGAGAAGAGAGATGTTTGCAATTCTTTCTATGGTATGAAGGTCCCTGAAGGTTATTCTTCAAATATAAAAAATCTTGTATCTTTACAAGATTCAAGACTTCTTGGCCTTAAATCACATGATTGTCATACCTTAATGCAACAATTGCTCCCTGTGGCAATTCGTTATGTTTTGGAGAAGCCTGCAAGGTATGCAATAACTCGTTTGTGCTTCTTCTTCAATGCTATATGTGCAAAGACTGTTGATGTTTCCAAGCTAGATAAGTTGGAAGAATATGTAGTAGTTACTTTGTGTTTGCTTGAGAAGTACTTTCCCCCTTCATTCTTTGATATCATGGTTCATCTAGTAGTACATCTTGTCAGAGAAGTTCGTCTATGTGGGCCAGTATATTTTAGATGGATGTATCCGTTTGAAAGATATATGAAAGTGCTAAAGGGGTATGTTCAGAATCGTACTCGTCCCGAAGGTTGCATTGCTGAGTGGTATATAGCTGAAGAAGCTGTAGAGTTTTGTACCGAGCATTTATCTGATGTTAGTACAGTTGGAGTGCCTTCAAGCCAAAAGATGGGAGTTTCAAAGCCAATATCAGGTTGCACAGTCAGCGTAGTTGATCGGGACCTGTTGAACCAAGTACATCTATATGTCTTGGAGAATACGGAGGAAGTCCTACCTTATATCGAGTACGTATGAGTTTTATTCTTTAAGTTTCCATTTTAAATTATTTCTTATGTTTATCTTATATGTTTGGGACCGTAATACTTGAATTTTGTGTGTCATGTAGGCAACATATGATCCACATCAAGACCGCTTATCCAAAATTTAGAAAGAGAACAAAGTGGCTGCAGGATAAGCACAATAGCACTTTCATTCAATGGCTACGCTTCAAGGTATATATTATTGAATAACATATTGTACTTTTAATTTTCTTCTTTCTATGTTAGATGGAATTAAGTTATGATTAATTTGAGGAAGACAATCATGGCGTATCAGAAAATTTAAGGTGGCTAGCAGCTGGTCCAAACATGGCAGTGCCATTATATAGGAGCTATCTCATTAAAGGTATTAAATTCAACATCAAGGCACAAGATGATGTGCGGACAACTCAAAATAGTGGAGTTTATTTACTTGCACATACTATGCAAGTTGCTAGTGCCAAGGATAAAAAACCCAATTCTCTCAAATATGGGTTTCTATGGTGTCATTCAAGAAATTTGGGACCTTGACTACCAAAAGTTTACAATCCCAGTCTTTAGGTGTGATTGGATTGATAATACTTCTGGTCTTGTAGTGGACGAACTTGGATTTACCCTTGTAGATTTGAGTAAAATTGGACATAGGAATGACCAATTTGTTTTGGCTTCTCAAGTCAAACAAGTATTTTTTGTTGACAACCCGATGCATCGTGGTTGGTCGGTAGTGTTATCAATGCCTAATAGAGAATATAATGATGTTATTGGTGATGATGTCTTAGGTGATGTGAGAATTGAGTGTGAGCCATTTACTAGAGGGATGCCAAATGTTGACACATTTGATGAAGTGGTGGTTGAGTTAGGGAGTCAAAATATTCGAGATGGGTGTGAAGATATATGGGTTGAATGATGCTTTATGTAATTGGCAGTGTATGAAATTAATTTTGTAATATATTGTAATGTGATTTCTTCACTTTCATTGTACAGGTTTTGGCCACAAAACAATCAATACAAAAATTACTGGTTCCAGATTACAAACACGACGGTTTTGATAAAAATGTGAAAAACAAACGTCTGTTCTAATAAATAACGACGTTTTGGAGCATTCAACGACCGCAATATATTTACCGACGTCTTAAAGCAACGTAACAATGAAGAACCACGATGCTATTGTGAAACAGTTATCCAGGATAACACGTCGGACAAGCATAAAGAACCGCCATGTAATTCAAAATAACACGACTCCAATCCCATAATACCGACGTCTAAAAGACGAGAACTTTAACCTGAACGTTACAAAAGACGACGTCGTCATGAATTTACCACGTCGCATGTTCTTTCATAAACGAAGTGGGAAAATGATGAATTCACGACGGTATTTGAAGTCCATTAAATTTGTCGACGTTAAGATTTATGAATTAGACGACGTTAATTTTTTTAATGAAGATGTATAAATTATTAAACACGACGGTCTTTTTCATGGTAACGACGTTGTATATAGACGACAACGTCGTCCTTATAAATTACTGTGTCGTAATTAATGACCCCATCATTTTTTCCACGTCGTTTATTTTCAGAATATGACGTATAAATTCTGTAATACGGCTCTCATTTATTTGGAACCGACGTTGTTTATTCATTTCAACGTCGTCTCTGTAAATACATGCGTCATAAGTAATGACCCTGACATCTATTTCCACGTCATAATTCATAGAAAAATCGAAGTGGAAAATTTATTTTATGACGGTATTTGAAGTCCATTAAATTTGTCGACGTTAAGATATATGAATTAGACGACATTAATTTTTTTAATGAAGACGTATAAATTATTAAAGACGACGGTCTTTTTCATGGTAACGACGTTGTACATAGACGACAACGTCGTCCTTATAAATTACTGTATCGTAATTAATGACCCCATCATTTTTTCCACGTCATTATTTTCAAAATATGACATATAAATTCTGTAATACGGCTCTCATTTATTTGGAACCGACGTTGTTTATTCATTTCAATATCGTCTCTGTAAATACATGCGTAAGTAATGACCCTGACATCTATTTCCACGTCATACTTCATAGAAAAATCGAAGTGGAAAATTTATTTTACGACTGTTGTTGGAAATGTTGTGACGTAGTAGGTGTCAATAACGTCGTCTATTATGATTGTAAAGACGTCATATTTATATTTGTCGTTAAATATTTATTTAACGGCGTTAAGTTTTAGTTCTCGTCATTGTGTGTTTATCTTGCGGCCATGTTCTGTTAATATATGTCATATGTTTCCTTTTTAACGACGTTTTTTTGTTGGAGTTGGTCGTCTATTCTCATCCTCGACTGTTTTTTTTATGTCTTTTTGCAGCACAAAGACGTCGGTTTTGATTTTTTGATGATGTTTTTTGATTTAACAACGACGGTTATTCACCGTCGTGGTTTTGTTATGGAAAAGATGTCGGTGGATTCCACGACCATTTGAAAACAGAATACACGACGGTGAATTCCCGTCGTGTTTTTCCTTTTTTGTAGTAGTGAAGGGACCCTAGAGGGTATCCTTCATATGCCGAAACCTAACACCTCTGAGCCCACCCAGTTGAGGCACACACTGCAAGACAGCAGTGGCCAGAGATATTAATCTGCCACAAAATAATGCATCCATTGTCCAAACCTGTCAACTTCTCAATTTTTCTTCTGGCGTTTTCTCCTGGATGTCTTGTGTGGTAGGGGCAAAACATTATTTAGCCCTTAAAAGCTATCCCCACATCCCACAAGCTTTTTTATCTGGTAGGAGCAAAAAGCTTTTCTATATGTATTTTCTGTATATATAACAAGCCTATATATATTTCATCTTCATTAGGGTTCAGGGCCTAAGGCTAACAAAAAATGTGGTCACCATGGTGGGATGCTAGCAATATTGAGAAAGATGGCCATCTCATGATGACCAAAGCAATATTTCTCACCATTTCAGCCATGGCGGTTGCTCTGTTCTGGTTCATGTGGAACTGGAAAAGCTTAAAAAAAACCCAACACCTCCATTGCCTCCAGGCCCTCGTGGCCTGCCATTTGTTGGGAGCCTTCCCTTTTTAGGCCCCAACCTTCACCACGAATTCACAAACCTGGCAAGTGTTTATGGTCCTATCTACGAACTCCAACTTGGTAGCAAATTATGCTTTGTGCTCTCTTCGCCATCACTTGTGAAACAAGTGGTTCGTGACCAAGACACCCTCTTTGCAAATCACGACCTTACAATTGCTGCATAGATTACCTCCTACGGAGGAACTGACATCACATTCGGATCCTACGATCCAGATTGGAGGAGGTTGCGCAAGGTGTTTGTGAGCCACGTGATGAGCAAAGGCAACCTTGATGCTTGTTAGAGCATTTCCACCAGTTAGCCCCTTGCCATGGCAAGGGGAGCCCTAGGGCAGCTACTATTCACGTGAATAGTGGCTGCCCTAGCCCCCTAGCAAAGTGTGTTTCCAACAGTTTAGGCTTGCCATGGCAAATACTATTCATTTTTTTGTTTTTTTCACAACTTTGTTTACTTAAACAATTAATTTGGATAATATTTTCGAATAAGATTTTTCGGTTCCTACGTGTCAATACTATTCATATCGGATAAGATTTTCAGTTTCAAATTTCATATACATTTCAAAATTCAAATTTCAGATAAATTCAAAATGTCAAATTTCAGATACATTTCAAAATTCAAATTCCAGATAAATTTCAAATTCCAAATTTCATGTGAATTTCAAATTTCAGATCAAATTTTCACCCTCTAAAATTGCGCCACGTGTCATCTATATCTGCCTAAATTTTTCTATAAAACCAGAGGCTCAGCTCATACCTCCCACACCATATCCTCTCTACATCTTCATTTCTCATATTTTAGATTTCATTTATCATATTTTAGATTTCATTCTTCATTCTCAATGTCAAACATGGAAGAGGTTTTGGAGAGGCAAGAGCAAGAAAGGCAAGCGAGAATGCGTAGAAGAGCTGCAAGCAAAAGGGCGCAGAGAGAACTAGATGAGCAACTTGGTGTGGCTGCTGCTTTGCTAGAGGAAGAAAACCAGAGCTGCCGTGGTTCACGAGAAGGCTGGGCACCGAATGTGGATAGACATAGACATTCTCGGGATAAGAATCTTCTAGAAGATTATTTTATCCCACAATCTCTGTACTCTGATGTTCATTTTCGAGCAAGATATAGAATGCAACCCCATTTATTCAATAAAGTCATGCATGATATTTGCAATTATGATGACTACTTTGTTCAAAAGAAAAATTGTGCTGGAAATTTGGGGCTTCTTCCAGAGCAAAAGTTCACAGCTGTGATACGAATGTTGGCGTATGGGTCATCTGTTGATCAAGTGGATGAGATTGCCAGGATGGGGAAGTCCACTATTTTGGAGAGCTTTGTGCGATTTTGTGATGCAGTGGAAACTCTGTACACTAGGGACTACCTGCGCAGACCTACGCCCAAGGACCTGCAACGGCTTCTACAAAAAGCTGAGTCTTGTGGATTTCCTGGGATGATTGATAGCATTGACTGCATGCACTGGCGATGGAAAAATTGTCCAACTGCTTGGCAAGGGGATTATGGCAATCGGAAAGGGCAGAAAAGCATCATCCTCGAAGCAGTTGCTGGTTTTGATACATGGGTTTGGCACGCCTTCTTTGGAGTTGCCGGCTCTCAAAACGATTTGAATGTCCTAGGTCAATCCCTGGTGTTCAATGATGTTCTGTGAGGTGAATGCCCAACTATCACATATCAAATTAATAATTCTGTCTACCAGAATGAGTATTATCTAGCTGATGGTATCTACCCGAGGTGGACAACATTTGTGAAATAAATTCCACATCCCCGATCTCATAAGGAAATTTTGTTTTGCTGCCTATCAAGAGGGGTACAGAAAAGATGTGGAGAGGTACTTTGGTATCCTTCAAGCCTGGTGGGCAATTATCAAGGGCGCGGCGCGTCTATTCGATGAGGAGGTGCTTAGGAGTATAATGATGACTTGTATCATCCTCCACAACATGATTGTAGAAGATGAGTATGATTATGATGCTGATGAAGTGTATGAACCAGATCCCATGAACACGGCCTTAACATGAATTTATGAAAAATCTATGGGGCCAAATGGAGAACCAGTGCAGCAAGATCCATTGGTTAGAGATGGTAGTTTCATACATCGTATGATTGAGCGCTACACAGAGATGCAATCGTCGTATATTCATGAACACCGTCAAGTTGACTTGATGGAGCATTTGTGGGCGGTGAAAGGCAATGAAGTGAAGTGAAGATGTTTTTTTAATGTATTATGTTTATGTTGTATTTTTAGTTATGCTTTGTTGTTTTTTTATGCTTTAGTTGTGGTTTGTTTATTTTTTATGCTTTGGTTGTGGTTTGTTTATTTTTTTATGCTTTGGTTGTGGTTTGTTTATTTTTTATGCTTTGGTTGTGGTTTGCTTTTTATGTATGGAATGTTTTGAATAAAAAGGATTTTTGTTGAATATTTTCTTCATTCACTAAAATAAAATCAATACAACTCATAAAATAAAATACATGAATTACCACTAATTTTTTAAACAAAACAAAAAATACAATGAAATGAAAGGCAAGCAAACTAACTTAATGGTTTTGATCATTTAACCAATCCGTGTTGCTAGGTCTATCGTCACAAAAAAGTCTTCGTCTCATAACATCCCTTCTTCTAACTTCCAAAATTGTTTTGTTTCGGGGGACATATGGGTTGTATCCATAGCTATGGTTTCCCGATCCTTTTTTTCAATCTTTTCTTGGCTTACATACTCCCTTTCTTTTGCATATTCTACTTCCATTGCCCTATCGTGCTCTTGTTGTTTCATGTCCATTTCAATTCTCATGGCTTGCATCTTTGAAAGCTCCTCCAAATATTTAGATGTATTCTTGGTAGAATTACTCCCTCTCTTCGCCTCCGCCGCCTTCCTCCCAATAGGCCTCGGCTCCTTTTTGATAGGTGAGTCTTGACTCATCGAGGAATCCATAGGTGAATCCGATGCCGGTGTCTCATGGAGTGGCATCTCGTTCAACACTACCGTCAAACCCGTTGGAATAATTTGGAATTTCTTACAATTCTTCACCACCTCCCAACATAGGGTATGGTTGAAACTTTTTTTGCCTTGCCCAGTAGCACCAAAAAACATTTGTGCTTGCATAATCTATACAAAAAAAAAATGGAAATGCAAGAAACTTTAAAAAATATTGGCAATGCAACAAGTATTAAAAAAAATATTGGAAACACAAGAAACTTTAAAAAAAATATTGCCAATGCAACAAGTATTAAAAAAAATAATGGAAACACAAGAAACTTTAACAATTTATTAGAAATGCAAAACAAAATATAAATATTGCAAGAAACATTCATATTAATATTGGAAATACAAGAAATATTAACAAAATATATAAATTGCAAGAAACATTTAAATAAAATTTAATATGACATAGAAATTAATAAAACAAAAATTACAAATAATTTACCTCACTGCTAAGGTTTTCCTCGCTTCTATGGTTGTCCATCGCTTTTGCCAAGGCATCTCTCCATTTTCCCAGCTCTTTATTAAGAATTTTCCACCTACTAGATAATGCTTGATCCGTACGGGTCGAACCAATTACCCTTTCACAAAATTCCTGATGAATTTTTTTTCCGCATATGACAAAATTTGATCTCATTGCCCGTTATGGGACAATGACTAACTTGGAGCCAAGCCTCACACAAGCTAACATCTTCCATCATGCTCCATGCCCCTCCTCCAGTTTCACTAGAAGAACCCATAATATGATAGAGAAAAAAACATCTTGAAAGTGAAAAAATATTGAGTAGAAAGTGAATAATAGTATAAGGAGAAGAAAATGTATGAGGAGTTGGTGTTAAAAGTGAAGAGTATTGGTTGGTATTTATAGAAAAAAAAAAAATTTCAGTATTTTTTGGGTATTTTTTTAAAAAAAATCGATTTTTTTTCATTTTTTTATTGGGCAAAAATTGGCTACCGTTGGATTGCTGGAAAAAAGGGGATCGAAGAGCCCAGAAGGAGCCACGTGGAAGAGAGCGGTTGGGGGGGACAGTTTCGATTTTTTTATTCGGGAAAAAATGGTTGCCGTTGGATTTCTGGAAAAAGTGGATCGGATAGCCTAGAAGAAGCCACGTGGAAAAGAGCCGTTGGGGGGGCACTATAGCGGGCAACGTTAAAAAAATTTAAACTTCAATGCTGACGTCATTTTGCCCTCTGGCGCTCGGCCGCCCGAGCCAGCCCGGGTACCCCCCTGCCGCCGCCCCCCTCCTTGCCCTTTGTTGCGGGGATCTTTGTTGCTGGAAACCTTTTTTGGGTTTTTCCCCCCCCCCCCCCCCCCCCCCCCCCCCCCCCCCCCCCCCCCCCCAAAAAAAAAAAAACCTCCCCCCCCCCCCCCCCGAGCCAGTCCGCCCCCCTTTGCTGAAATGCTCTTATGCTCTGAGAAAATAGGAAGTTCTCAAGTCAATTGGTCATATTTATGGCAAAAGTGGTAGACCAATTGATTTCGGGCAAGTTGCATTTTTTACAGCAATCAACACTGTAGAAACAGATTCTTTTCATATCTAAATACACACTATTACATGGATTTTATACAAGCTGCAATGGTCTGGGAGTTATAGCCGAATTGTAACAGACAACAAGGCAATTATGGGTGTTAACAATTGTAACAGAAATCTCCTTAACTTGTTGTAACTGTCAAGAATATGAAGGGTCTCTAACACTCCCCCACAAACTTGGCGGCGGAGGAGAGACAAGTTTGGAGACAAGGCGAGCAAAGCGGTCTGTAGGAAGCCCTTTGGTAAAGACATCAGCGAGCTGAGCAGCAGAGGGGATGAAGGAAACTTTGTGGCTGCCGGAGGCAACACTTTCGCAAACAAAGTGATAATCAAGAGCAACATGTTTTGTGCGGGCATGAAAAATAGGATTGGCAGCCATGTATGTCACAGAGAGATTGTCACAATTGAGTAGGACTGGTTGGTGAAGCGGGAATTGTAATTCACAAAGGAGACCCTGTATCCAAATGGTGTCAGCGCAGGCATAGGCGAGGGCGCGGTGTTCTGCCTCGGCACTAGAGCGGGAAACCGGACGTTGTTTCTTAGCACTCCAAGAAATTAAATTTGACCCTAAGAACACGCAGTAGCTAGTTGTCAAGCGACGTGTATCGAGGCAGCCTACCCAGTCAGCATCCGAATAGGCAACAAGAATGGTGGAGTGGGGGGACGGATGGAAAGGTAAACCATGACCAAGAGTGCCCTTGAGGTATCGAAGAATGCGTTTGACAGCTTCCATGTGAAGATCAGTAGGAGAGCCCATAAATTAAGACACAAATTGAACCGCGTAGGCAATGTCGGGACGAGTGAGAGTTAAGTACTGTAGAGTGCCAACCAGCTGCCTATAAATGGAGAGGTCAAAGAGAGGATGACCAGCGGTGCGAGATAGGGAGCCTTTGGAGGCCATGGGCGTGGAACAAGGCTTCCACTCCAACAGGTTACTGCGTTTGAGTAAATCAATGGTATATTTATTCTGTGTGAGATGAATACTACCAGACAAATAAGTCACCTCCATACCCAGGAAATAATTGAGTTGCCCAAGATCTTTGAGATCAAATTCAGCGCCCAAGATGCAAATGAAATCCAGAAGGGAAGAAGTACTACTGCCGGTGAGAACAATGTCGTTGACATAAAGAAGTAAGACCATCATGTGAGAGTTGTTCCGAAAAATAAACATTGAGGAGTTGGCACGGCTTTGGAGAAACCCATAACGAATGAGGAAAGAACTGAGGCGCTGAAACCATGCACGAGGAGCCTGTTTGAGGCCATAGAGAGCTTTATGGAGTTTGCAAACATGTTGGGGCCGAGTAGGATCAATAAATCCAGGAGGCTGCTGCATATATACGTCTTTAGAAAGAGTGCCATGAAGGAACGCATTTTAACTTCTAATTGACGAAGAGTCCAACCAGAGGAGATTGCAATACTTAGTACAGCGCGAATAGTGGTGGGTTTGACAACAGGACTGTAGGTATCAAAATAGTCAATTCCTGGTTGTTGATGATAACCCTTGGCCACCAAACGGGCCTTGTAACGTTCTATACTTCCATCATAGTTACGTTTGATTTTGAAAACCCACTTGCAACCGACAGCACGAACAGAAGGGGGCAAGGGAGCCAAAGACCAAGTGCCCTGCTTAAGAAGCGCATTAAACTCATCATACATAGCTTGTCGCCAATGAGAAAATCGAGAGGCCTGGGTGTAGCATGTAGGCTCAAGATCAAAATCAGCCAAAGCAATGAACGCTGAAGGAATAGGATAGCGAACCATGAAATTAGAACGAAACTTGGGTTTGAAGATGCCGGATTTGGACCATGTGTGAACTGGGCTTGTCCGATTAGAGGGAGGAGCAAGAGGCTTGTCGGGAAGCTGTGCTGAAGGCGGGAGCAGTGGAGTGCCGGCTGGCGATGGTGCTGGAGCAGACGAAGAGGGATGTGCTGTAGCCAAGACTGGTGTGGCGTTGGTCGGTGCTGGAGCCAAGGGGGCTGGTGCCGAGAGATGGGTGGCAGCGGTTGGTGCGGATGCTAGTGTGATGACCAGAGCAGGTGATGGTGAAGTCGGGGTCGCAAGGTCGGCTGGAACGAGAGAAAGGATTGGAGATGAATTCAAGTTGGCGGCTATAGGACTAGATAGCTCCACATGGGCTGACTGTGTAGGGGCAAAATGGGCTCCAAATGTGGCTGTGGCCCAATATCTAGATGAGAGGCATCAGGCCCATAGAGTGGGGCTGAATCTGTGACGACTGGAACAGAGACCAAACCATTGGCAACTATGGCATTTGATGGCGTTGAGGCATGGGCAGAATAGAACAAATCATGCTCGTGAAAGACAACATGTCTAGAAGTGTATACGCACCCGATGGGAGGATGATAGCAGCGATATCCATGATGATTTGCACTGTATCCAAGAAAAACACAAGCAAGAGAATGAGGTTGTAACTTGTTAGAAACATAAGCACCAAGATACGGATAGCATGTACACCCAAATGTAAGGATAAAAGAATAATCCGGGTCATTACGAAACAACCGCCGAAAAGGCGTGGCGATGTTTGCGCTCGGCAAGGCCATTTTGTTGTGGGGTATGGGGACATGAGAAGCGGTGAATAATACCTTTGGAAGCACAAAATTGTTTAAAGTTTCCATTATCAAATTCCTTTCCTCCATCACTTTGAAACTGTTTAACATGCATAGAAAATTGGGTTTCAACATAAGAGACAAATGTAGGAAAATGATGAAAGACTTCCGATTTAAGTCGCATAGGAAAAATCCATGAGAAACGAGTAAAATCATCAGTAAAAAGTACATAATACCAAAAACCAGAAAGAGAAGCAACTGGAGACATCCAAACATCATAATGTATTAAATGAAAGGGTTCATGTGAACAATGGTCATGAGTTGAAAAAGGAAGACGAACTGACTTTGCTTAGGCACAATGGCTACATGAATTACGAGATAATCTAAAAGGAGAACCTAACAAGGACTAAGAGACTAAGGCACTAAGCAATTTATTGGACGGATAACTCAAATGACGATGCCAAAGGGACGATGACGAGACGGTGGAAGAGAAAGCGGACTTGGAGCATGAAACCAACTTGGAGGCAAGGGAGGGCAAGACCGAATAAAGGCCATCACTACATCGGCCCTGAAAGAGAATAGCACCTGTGTGTAAGTGTCAAATAACATATCCCGAAGAAACCAAAGTAATACTAACAGGATGATTGTGAGTAAGTTGAGCAATAGAAAGATGATTTTTGTGAAGAGAGGGAACAAGAAGGACATCGGATAAATTAAAGGCAAAGGAGTTAGAGGAAAAGGCGACATTATTAGAATGAGTAATGGGAAGGAAGGCACCATTACCAATGAGGACTTGATCAGAAAAGGAGGAGACATTTGTCAGTGTGCGGGCATCATTGATCATGTGATTGGTGGCACTAGAGTCCAAGTACCAATTGGGGTCAAAGGTTTGATAGATATGCATGCCAGCAAAATGAGGAGAGAAGTCAGCATCACGAGAAGATAGTGGGCACCGAGTAGCAATATGGCCAAATTGTTAGCAGTTCCAACATTGAAGAGGGGGCGCGGTGTCGGAAGAGGCCCCAAAACACTAGTGCTGGGCTGGGAGGAGCGGGAAGGCCGGTTATGGGGCTGGCTTGAACCTGAAAAAGTAGGACGGGTTGATGCACTAGAGGAAGGTCTGAAGCGGTGAAACTGGGAACCATGGAGTGGGCCACGAGAACAACGAGGATGGCTAGAACGGGAATGTTGGGAATGGGCGGAATAAAAAGCTTGCGGTGGTGGTGGAGAGGCCATGAGAGCAGTGAGAGATTGTTGAGCATCGAAGGCGAGGAGACGAGCACGAAGATCAACAAAAGTGGGTATGGGAGGAAATTGCATGATAGCAGTGATAAGCATGGCGTAGTCGGGGCCCAAGCCACGAATCACATAGCTGACCAAATCATCATAGGAAACTGGGGCACGTATGGCTACCAGCTAATCAGATAAGCTCTTGGCAAGAGCAAGATATTCAGAAACTGTCTTAGTCCCTTTGGTGATGGTGAGAAGTTGAAACTTGAGATGGGTGGCATTAGCAAGAGATTGTTGAGAAAAGTTCTTACGAAGGCAATCCCAGACTGCTTGGGAAGTGGTGAGACCAACAACTTGAGCAAGAACCGGCTTAGTGAGAGTGGAACGAAGAATACTGATAAGAGATTGATCGGTTTGATACCAGGTAAGATATTCTGGGTTAGGGACAGGGACCACGGGGTCCTGAGTAGAGTCAACAGCTTTGTCTGTGGTGGAAGTGAGAACAGCAGGAGGGCATGTGTGAGAACCATCGATGAATTGCCAAAAATTTTGCCCACTAAGATAGGGTTGAACTTGACTTTCCCCAAAAAGGTAATTGGTTTCCAAGATTTTGGTGGAGACAAGAGTAGAGAAATTGGGGAAGGAGAGAACACTAGCCAAAGAGGAGGATGAGGAGGAGGAGGATGCCATTGAAAGGAAAAGAAGTAGAAAATTTTTAAGGAAAAATGGAGGCTCTAGATACCATGTAGAAACATATTCTTTTCATATCTAAACACACACTATTACTTGGATTTTATACAAGCTGCAATGGTCTGGGAGTTATAGCCGAATTGTAACAGACAACAAGGCAATTATGGGTATTAACAATTGTAACAGAAATCTCCTTAACTTGCTGTAACTGTCAAGAATATGAAGGGTCTCTAACAAACACAATCATGAGAATGTTGTGGGATGGGACTCTGGAAGCAGAGAAAGGGACTGATCTTGGGACAAAGTTCATAAATGTGGTGGCTGAAATGGTGGAGTTGATTGGGAAGGGAAATATTTCCGACTTTTTTCCTTGGCTTGCCAGGTTTGATGTGCAAGGAATTGCGAGCCGTGCGAAGCAGCTTCTGTCTGTGACTGAAAATATTCTCAACTCTACCATTGAAAAGCAGATGAGCGAGGCAGCAAAGCAAGATGGGGGGCTATCGCTAAAGCATGAAAGGAAGGGCTTTCTGCAGTTCCTGTTGGAGCTTAATGAACATGGAGATGATGCAGAATCGCTTACTTTGCAACAAATCAAGGCCCTACTCACGGTACTGTATTCTTATCTTTGGTTTGTAATTTGTTGGTAGTCGACCAAGTGCATTTTGGCCATTGACACATGACTTTTTCCTTATTTTGACAACACCTAATGCATTAATACGGTCAATATTCCCATATGCATGCGTGAGAGACTCATCATATAACATCCTTCTTGTGATGATAAATCACTACTACAAAAAAGGTTATAGACAATGGCTAAAAACCGTTGTGGTTTCAATTTTTAAACCGTTGACTTTAGCCGTGTCGTCTATTCTATATTATATACACAACGGTTAATAACTGTTGTAGTTTGTATCCTTCCACAATGGTTTTATATACAACCGTTGTAATTAGTCACCTTCCAGGCTTCTTTTTATGTACAACTGTTGTAATTGGTTAACTTCCACAAATGGTTTTTACTTAAAACCATTGTAATTTGTCACCTTCCACAATGGTTTTTATTTAAAACCATTGTAATTTGTCACCTTTCACAACGGTTGTTACATAAAACTGTTGTAATTAGTCACTTTCCACAACAGTTTTATTTAGCACCACTGTAATTTGTCTAGTTCAACAACAGTTTCTATATAACCATTGTAGATATTACAACTAGATAACGGTTTTATGTCAAACCGTTGTGGAAACACACATTAGATAACGTTTCCATGAAAAACCATTGTTGAAAATAGCATTAGGTCGCCCACAAAATTGCAAAGCATTATCTTCGTTGTAGTTAATTGTCACACCCTGGACCCGAGGGTCGGTGAAAATCCAGCGCCCGAAGCGTGAGAAAATAAAAAGTAAAATAAAATAAAAAGAAACCGAAACATGGGTTTAAAATAAACTTCTCTTATAAAAATATCTCCAAATCTTACAACTTTACAATAAATAAACAAATGCTATACTACTTTCCTCTAATTCAGCCTCAACTGGTTTATTCCTTTTCTTGCCCACTAATTCACCTAAAAATTAAACAGGGTGAGGGGTGAGCAACCACAGCCCAGTAGGGACATGAGACCTTACCACGGTAAATTGATATAACTAAATTAAGTGACATGCAATCACACAGGGAAATATCATGTTAATAATAATAATAATAATAATAATGCATGAATGCTCTTCAATTCTACCCAACCCGTTAATTTATACAATAGGGCAAGCAAATCTACACGTCCCATACCATGCATTTTACCACTGTGATTCCGAATGCCCCCTTACATAAACTAACACCCATCTCAGTTATCCCATAATTCCCCTTTTACTAGTCGTCTTGTCTACACCATTGATCTCCAAGCTCAAATCACCCAATCGACAATTATACCGCCAATTTCCTAATCTACTGTGCACACGGGCTCGCCTGGACTTGGTCCCTACAATGATCAGACTCAACTACACAAAAGATTCTTCTCATTACCCTCTTTTCCATAATTTCTTTATTAATCCAAGAATTCCAACCACCACCGACAACATATGAACATGTCAATATTAATCAAATGATATAATGATAATTAACAACACTTAAACACCCAATATCAATAATAATCAAATAATAATATCATGCATAATATATTGCTCACGAAATTTAATTAGATCAATCCCCGTAAAGGCCCCCAAGAAACCCCTACCTCGATTCCAAAGCATTTCTCCAATTTAAGAAAATACAAACTAAGTCCTATATCTCCTCCAAGAATTTCATCATCATCATCATCATCTCTCTCTCTCTCTCTCTCTCTCTCTCTCTCTCTCTCTCTCTCTCTCTCTCTCTCTCTCTCTCTCTCTCTGTATTTTATGTTTTTCTTCGTGCAAACTTACAAATGCTTGCAACTTGGCCGAAATGCGAATGAAAAACAAAGGAATGGAATGGTCTATATATAGTGTGGTGAAGACGGTAGCTACAGTACATGATAATATCAACATTTATGTAAGAACTTAATCTCCAAGTAATATATCAATATGGCCTTGCACTCCAAGTCAATAATAGATAAGAAAAGAATTGCTAGGAAGACACGTTGGTGACTACAATCCTATTCTAATTTCTTCAGGGTGAGTTGGCAAGGATACTAGCATGCCTTGTTGACACCTAACTACCCATTCAAGAACCCTTTTACTAATGAAGCCACCTATTAGCAAAAGATATATATAATATACATATATATATATATATAAGTTATACACATATATATAATAGAATAGGATATTTATGTAACACACACATATACAATATAATATAATATATAAATTAAATGGCAAAATATTAAGTCTTCAAATTATATATACTTTTATAAATACGGGGTCTCACATTAATAAATAATAATTTTTTTGGGCTAACATATAAATATGGTAGAAGAACCAAAGAATGCTACTAACCAAACTGTCATTAGGAACTTAGATATACAAAGAGTAAGGTATGCATAATAGTCTCAGATTTTTATTCTTTCATAATATTAGTAAGTGATTGTACATATCTATTATAGAGAATTGTAGGTAAGGGTAGAATACGAAAGAGAAATAACAAAAGTGGTTAAAAAGTATTAAAAAGCAAAAGGGAGTGTAAGATAAATTGAAAGAGAGAAAATACGTACTTGGAGTTTGTTGCAAACCAGAGCACAGTAGAAGAGTTACAACACAAATAAATTTCATTTGTACGTAAAACAAAAATTAAATTCAATAAACAGGCACATCCAATCATATTAAGCAAAAAATCTTAGCTGCATATTAAATCTTACAAGTTGCAAAACAATATGTTATCCCCTTCTTGTAATCTGCCTCTCATTTCCAGTTTTAGCCATTTTCATGATCTCCACCACCAATTTTAGCCAGTATGTCGAGTTCACCTGTACCCACCTTGCGAATTCATCTCTAGTCTAATAACAATCTATTAGAGACAAATAACCCGAATAAGAAAACACTAATTCACCACGAATTTAAAAGATTTAAAACAAAAAACAAAAAGTTCTTGATCTTTATAGGAGATACTTTTTTGTACGCGCCTCACGCGCAAAGGATATTTCTTTGCTTTTCAGATCTCGCTCGTTTCCGATTGATTCTTGCTGGAAACTGCCAATTGCGGTGGTTTCCAGGCAGTTTCTATGTCGTTTTTGGCTGAGTTCCCTCTGATCTCCTGTTGGTTATGGCGGAAGGTTCACCTGGAGTCTTCTTGAATCCTCATCGCTTGGCTAAGCGAAGTCGAGCATCAGAGAATGCTAAACCTGAGTATGATATGGATGCTGATTCTGATTCACGTCTGATGCAGGACCAGACACCTATTGTTGACTCTGAGCAGGTATCTCATTTTCACCTTGGTTCTGATAGTTTTCGTGATAAGCTTATGAACAAGGTGAATTTGACTAAGAATGTGGGTATAGATGTTAATTGTCTGGATGATGATTATGAGGATCTCAATGATAACGAGGATGTGGTTATTTCTCGGGGTGATCGAGGCCCTAGTATTCAATTCTCTGATAATGGATAGGTTATGCTGACCTTGGAAGAATGCTTTGATTATTAAGCTATTGGGCAGGTCTCATACTTATAATTATTTACGTGATCGATTACACCAAAAATGGAGTTTGAAAGGGGAGTGGAAATTGATAGATTTGGTGAATGATTATTTTGTGGTTAAATTTGATCTTAAGGAGGATTTAAATTTTGTTCTCACTGGTGGTCCTGGGATAATAGCTGGTCAATATTTAGTCATGCAAAAATGGAGGCCTGGCTTTTGTCCAGCTACTGCACATATCACTCGAATGGCTGTTTGGCTTCGTGTCTCTACTATTCAACTTGAGTGTTTTGATGTTTGGTCGTTGAAACGAGTTGGGAATTTATTGGGGAAATTGTTAAAGATTGATTCTCTTACCACTGCTCAAAATAGGGGCAAGTTTGCTCGATTGTGTGTGGAATTAGATCTCACCAAGCCTTTAGATGCTTTCATCCAAATCAACCAGAATTGGTATAACATAGAGTATGAGGGGCTGCCAGATATATGCTACCTATGTGGGAGGTATGGCCACAAACGAGAGAAGTGTGAATTGAATGTTAAAGATGCTAAAACCGTTAATGGTGAGACTACTAGTGTCATGGGTGCTAATGTTGAGGGGAGTAGTTCGATGGGAATTAATAGGGCTCACTATGAGTCTGACCAGAGCTTGAGAGGGCCATGGATGAATGTTCCCCATAGGCGTAGGCCTTAATCTAATTTTAAGGGAGTGGGAGGCAAGGATTCTGGGGTAAAAAATAAGGGCTCAAGGTTTGATGCTCTTAGGTGTTGAGGCCCAAAAAAGTCCACGGTTGGGCCCAAATAAGTTTTCGGTCCAATACACTACTATATTAAGAAAAGTCACATATCTGAGTACGCGAAGGCTCGTCATATGCGAGTCACACCACACGCGCCATGCCAAATAAATAATTCGTCATGTTAGGAATCGAGATTAAGATTATAAAATGCATTATCTTTGCAAATCCATGCTAATTATCCCGTCATGCATAATAATTGAAAGCATGCTAAGCGATATGCCATGCCAAGCGACATGTCATGCCAAGTAGGAAATCATTATTACACACCCAACCACGCTACAAGCCTAAGTGGGCCCAAGCCACTCGAATGCCCAGGGCTTGCTTGAATGGGTTGTGGTATGGATGGTAATAAATCAACATGAGGCCCATTGATGGGCCGAGAAATGGAAAGTCTCGGGTTGCTTGGGAGCCTCGAGACTCAAGCCAATTTCTTAGGCCCAAACATGTGGGTGAGCACAAGAGAGAAAAGTAGCCCAATAGCCCAAGCAAGATAACCTAACCAAAAATAAGCCCAATCAAAATAGCCTATTGACTCAACCAAAAAGCCCAAACATTTTAAATAGCCCACTTGCTTGATAAACCATCTTGGCCCATACAACTACCATAATGAGCTACAAGGCACCAGCACCTAGCTGAAGGAACAAAAGCCACGAAAGGGAGGTCTGGATGTCCATTAAACAATGCTGCTGGAGGTTCCAACACATGGAGGGAGCAGATTCCAAGCAAGAAACATTCAAAGTACCAAAGAATATTAGCCTGCGAGCTGCCAGAAGCACCCTTTGAACCAGCATGTATATTCAATTCATTCCCTCATCAGACCTAGCCTTGGAAGAGGAGAGAAAAGAAGGAAGAAGGATGGCTGAAAATAGGAGTCTGAAACAGCCGCGGGAAAGGGGGCCTTGAGCTCCAAATAAATCTCTGATTTTGTGCAAACGGGCAGAGAAGATTTCACCAAAAAATGATGATTGAAGGGATGAAGGGAGAAAGGAAGGGAAAGACTTGACAAAATGGGAAGGAAACCATTAGTGCTTCTTGGAAAATGTCAGCTTCCAGAGGCTATAAATTGAGGCCTTTTCTACCCAACGGAGGCAACCCACATCTAGAGAGCAAGCTTCATCTCTCACCATGAAATCTCTGCAATTTTGTGCCCTAATCCTCCATCTCCTCCCACTTTCCATTCTGCCATGCCATTCTAGAGTCTGACATAGCTTTTTTCAGGCTGCTGGAAACTTACCCAAACCACCAAATACTTCACCATTAGTCACAACTCAGACCCAGAGAGCAAGCTTTCTCTCTAACTTACAAAAACCCAGCAATCTCGTGCACTGTTCATCTTCTTCTCCGTTTTGCTCTTCTGGCAGCTGCCGGAAGAACTCTGCTCTTCATTTTCCCTTTCCTAGCCAAATCTCTTACAAAACTTCTCTTTCCTTACCCTAACACTTCATTTTCCCTCAAAGCAAGCCTAAATTTTCTCTTAATGCTAAACTCATGTTGATTTTGCTCCCATGCCACATGCCACTCACGCTGAGCTTGAGAGTTTATCTGTAAGCATGAAGAAATTACCTATAAGCTGCCATTATTTTGGTTGGTGAAGATAATCGAAATACTTCCTAAGGCTCTACTGCCCTTTCGAGGTATTTTGGGGCCTAATTTTTGAACTCAGGTGGGACAATTTCATCAGTCTGCCCTTTTACAGCAGCCCAGCCCATTTGCAGCTGCTGGAGGAAAAAGTCCCCTACATTAGGCAAGTTGGTGAGAATTTTGGAAAGGATTAAGGGAATTCTGGTGAGTTTTTTTATCAGACTGGTAGCAGACCAGTGCAATCTTTCTTGGCTAATTTGAATATGGGAAATAAGGTTTGGACAAAGTCTAAGGGTAAAAAGTCTGTTGCTAGGCAGGCTTTGGAGGATATTTCAAACAAGAGCTTGCCTGTGAAGAATCGTGTGAAGGAAAATTAACAGAATACTGGTGTGTCAACTAGAAATACCTCTGGAAGTCGCCAGGCTGCTAGTGTGGCAAGTAGAAGTACCGTTGGTATATCTGATTCTATAGGAAGGGTGGGATCTCAAGGTAAGAAAAGTGTTGATGCTGGTTCTCTACATGAGCAATTTGCGAGCTGGGGTAGTGGACAACCAGTTTAAAAGGAAAAAAGGTTGTATATCTTTGGGCATCAGCCACCTAATATAGGGGAAATGGCTACTAGTAGGGATGACAGTTCTGGTTCTAACAGTGATGATGAAGTGCTAATCCCTTCTGATAGTGAGGGTTTGGATCCTACAGAGAAAATGGACTTTTCAGAAGGACACGTTAGTTCACATGGTGGACACTTGGCAAGTAATACTTCCACTCCTGGTGAAGGTATGACTTTTGAGTCTTAATAGAGGGGTTTTAGCCCCTACGGTTACTCTGCTCTTTAATGGGTTTTTTTTATGGATATTTGTTGTTGGAATGTTAGAGGAGCAGTGAGCTCCAAATTTAAGTCTAATGTGCTTGATTTGATTCGCACTCATCGATTGGATATGCTTTTTCTTTGTGAGCCTTGTATAAGTGGAGCAAAGGCTATTTTTGTAGTTAAATCTCTCAGTTTTCCTTGCTTTGAAATTATTGACGTTGTGGGGTTCTCTGGTGGTTTGTGGCTGTTATGGGATGATTCTAGAGTTCATGTAGAAGTTGTTGGCACCTCTGATCAAACGATTTCTACTTGTGTGGCTCGCAATGGTTAAGACCCTTGGCTTTTTACTGGTGTTTATGCTATGTTGTCAAGCGAGCGAAAATGTGGGACTATCTCTCATTTGTTGCTGCAAGTCATAATATGCCTTGGTTAATTGCCGGGGATTTTAATGAGTTACTTACTGCTGATGAGAAGTTTGGTGGAATTTTAGAGTGCAAATCTAAAGGTTTTAGAAACTAGGTTGATGGTAATGAGATGATTGATTTGGGTTATTCTGGACCTAAATTTACATGGAATAATAAGAGAGTCTATGCAAGGTTAGATCGAGCTATTTGTAATATGCAATGGAGAAGGTTATTTCCTAAGGCTAATGTTCAACATTTGCCTAGGACTACTTCTGATCACAATCCAATTAAGATTAAGTTGAGCTCCCGTTTTGTTGTTTCTCCGCACTTAAGGCCTTTTAGGTTTGAAGCAATGTGGATGCAACATGAACAATTTAATAAGTTTATTTCTGATGTTTGGGGACAAGCTGCTGGATCAGCCTTGGATAAAACTTATCAGTTGGTTCAGCCTCTAAAAGATTGGAATGTTAATGTTTTTGGACATCTTAAGAAACGGAAGGCCTGTTTGTTGGCCTATCTTAATGGTATTCAAAAAGCTTTGTGCAGGGGCTCAAATACTTTTTTTAGTAAATTGGAAATTTCTTTGATTGAGGAGTATAATTGTGTGCTGGAGCAAGAGGCTATGTTATGGAAACAAAAATCCAGATTACAGTGGCTTCAGGAAGGTGATCGAAACACCAAATTCTTTCGTCTTATTACTATTATTAGGCGGCGGAGGAATAAAATAGAGAGATTAAAGAATAATGAGGGGGTTTGGGTTGAGGAAGCTCAAGACATTAAAGGCTTGGCTATAGCGTATTTTGAGCAGTTGTTTTCTCAAGAGATTGTGAAGCACAGAGACCTGACATTACCTATGTTGTTCCCTGTTATTGATTCGGTTGATTTGGAGTTGCTTGAGAAGGATGTTGATATGGCTAAGATTAAGCGAAGTTTGTTTGGGATTGGAGGTTTGAAAGCTCTTGGTGTATATGGGTTTCCAGCTTGTTTCTATCAAGCTAAATTGAATAATTGTGCTGATGATATTTTTGCATTGGTGACTCAAGCTTTCCAGAAGTGCAGCATCCCTGACAAGCTGAATTACACTTTAATAACTTTGGCGCCTAAAGTGCAAAGCCCCCAGTCTATGGTTCAGTTTAGGCCTATAAGCTTATGCTCTACTCTGCACAAGGTCATTTCTAAAATCCTTGTGGCTCGGTTGAGGCCTATTCTTCCTGATCTTATAAGTCCCAACCAAGTTAGTTTTATCCCTGGACGACATATTACAGATAATATCCTTATTGCATAGGAGTTAATGCATAAATTTAAGCTGTCTGAAGGGAAAAAAAAGGTTTGTCGCTTGGAAAATAGACCTCTCTAAGGCCTATGACAGGTTGAGTTGGCATTTTGTTGAGTATGTGCTTCTTGAATTAAGGTTGTCTGCTCCATTTGTTAAGTTGATAATGAATTGTGTTCAATCTGTGAGATATCAGATTAATGTGAATGGGGAATTGACTGCTCCTTTTAGTCCAATGAATGGTATTAGACAGGGAGATCCCTTATCTCCCTACCTCTTTGTTCTATGTATTGAAAAACTCTCTCATATTATATGTGATGCTGTCAGTAAGAAGAAGTGGCGGCCTGTGAAATCTTCTCAGTCTAGCCCTGCGATCTCCCACCCTTTTTTTGTTGATGATCTGGTGTTGTTTGCGGAGGCTAGTGCTAACCAAGCTAAAATTGTGAAGAGTTGTCTGGATTTGTTTTGCTCTGCTTCTAGACAAGTAGTCAATTTTGAAAAGTCTGCTGTCTTCTGCTCTCATAACACTTGTAATGAGGTTGCTAAAGAGATAAGTTTGATTTGTGGCTCTCCTCTCACTAATGACCTTGGTAAGTATCTAGGAATGCCTCTTTTGCATTCTAGAATCGGAAAGCACACTTATAGTTCTTTAGTTGATAAGGTGCATAATCGACTGGCAGCTTGGAAGAGTAAGCTCCTATCATTAGTTGGAAGAGCTACTTTAATTCAAGCGGTTATAGCTTTTATCCCTGTTTATGCTATACAAACTACTAAACTTCCTGTTAGTGTCTGTAATGATTTAGATCGGCTCAACCGTAATTTTTTCTGGGGTAGCAGTGAGAAGAAAAATAAGATCCATCTTTGTCAATGGGATTTGGCTTGTAGGCCTAAAGGTAAAGGAGGTTTGGGGTTTAAGAAGACTGCTAGTATGAATCAGGCTCTGCTTGCTAAGATTGGGTGGAGATTGCATTCTAAGGACAATGGTTTATGGGCAAAAATTTATTAGGCTAAATATCTTAAAGGGGCTTCTATTTTTGATAATTCTCTTGGAGCAAGGCAGGTTTGCTCCACTACTTTGAGGAGTATTATACATGGTATTCAATTGCTTATGCAAGGGATGTGTTGGAGAATAGGTCGGGAAACATTGTAAAATTCTGGGAGGATAATTGGGTTACTGATGTCCATTTAAGGCAGCAGGCTGGAGTTCTCACCATCCATGATAGCAATTGTTCTGTTTCAAGTTTTTCTAAGAATGGCTGGTGAGATATTGATAAGTTGAGAGGTGTTCTTTGTGAAGACCTTGTTCAACAGGTCATTAGTGTTCCTGTGGGGTTTTTGGGCTCTTTACCTGATACTCAGATTTGTAAGGGTAGTGCTAATGGCAACTTTTCTGTTAAATCTGCCTATAGTTTATTCTTTGAAGGTTGTTCTACTCCTGACTCCTGCTAGAAATCCTTGTGGAGTTTAAATGTTCCTCATAAGCTTCAATATTTTATGTGGCTGGCTTCTCAAGGCAAAATTTTATCTAATGATCAGCATGTTCGAAGGCAGTTGGCGTATAACCCTTCATGTGGCTTTTGTTCTTGGCCTACTGAAACTGTTCTTCACATTCTTCGTGATTGTGAGCGAGCTCGATCTACGTGGAATGTTATTCTCCCTGCCTATGCTCATCATTTTTTCCATTTAGATGCTCAGCCTTGGATGAAGGTCAACGTGCTCTCTAAGGAGAAATGGAATGGTGATGTTCCTTTAGGTACTGTTTTTGTGTTTACTTGCTGGCATCTATGGTGTTGGAGAAATAAGCATGTTTTTCAGAATGAGGATACAGTCCTCTTTAGTCTAAGACAAGTTGTTTGTAGGGCTGCCCAAGAGTGGATTAAGTCAACTTCTAATCGCACTGTAAGGGTAAATAAAGTTCAAATTCATGTTGCCTGGGAGCCTCCTGGGCCTGGACAGTTCAAACTAAATGTGGATGGTTCAAGGAGAAGCGTTACTGGCTACATTTGTGCTGGAGGAGTCATTCGTGACCCTTTTGGTGGCTGGGTAAGTGGTTTTGCTATTGATCTGGAAAAAGGTCAAGTTCTTGAGGCTGAGATATGGGGTCTTTTCTTTGGTTTGAAGTTGGCAATTGAGAAAGGCATCAGTAGTCTCATTATTGAGATGGATTCAGCTATTGCAGTCAATCTCTGTCAGAATTCTTCCATGCTTACTCTGCATCCTTTAGCTGCTTTGGTTAGGAATTGTTGTGACCTTATGCAGTAGGTTCCCAGGTGTGCCCTTTAGCATGTTTTTCGTGAGAAGAATATTGTTGCTGACCGGTTGGCTAATTGGAGTTATCAAGTGGATCTTGGGCTGTGTGTGTTTGAGCAGGCTCCTAGTCGGTTAAATGATTATCTTGTTGATGATCTGCTTGGAATTGTTCATTCTAGATTGGTCTGTTTAGACCAGGTTGTGTAGTCTGTTTCTTGGGGCTTTGCCTCCCTACTTAATCAAAAAAAGATTTTTAAAAACAAAAACAAAACCTAGAAAGACCATATTTTTTTTTTTTTTTTTTTTTTTTTTTTTTTTTAAGAGAAACCATTGTATTAATAGGGTGGATAAGGCATCCACAGCTCTCGATTAAAAATAAAAATAAAAAAATGCATCCACAGCCAACCAAAAAAAAAAAGGAACACCACATGAAAAAACCGGGGAAGAAAAAACCAAAGGAGCGAATGAGGAACACAGATTCATTTCTCGGCTGCCATCAAATCCAACATAATGAAAGAAAGAGGCTTACCTGCAGAAAAAGAGAGAGAGGAGCCCATAAGCAGAAAACTCATATTGGGGTTGTTGATGTGAGCCTGACCATGTGACGCATGAAAAATTTTAAGTTCCATGTTTTTGTTTTCTCAACAACTACACAACGGTTATGTTCAAAACCGTTAATAAATTGACACCGTGAAAAAATCAAACATTTTTCACATAGATGACAGTTTCATTGGCTATTTACAACGGCTTACAAAGAACATCTTTCTAGATGAACATCTTTCCAGATGAACATCTTTCCAGATGAACAACTCCCTGTTTTCCTATTTATCTCTTTTTTTTTAGAAAATATAGCCTACTTATCCTTTGGAAATAATGTCTGTCGAGTTTTTCTGAATATAGAAAAGGATTTTGATCTTTTCTCTGTCTGTGAGGGGAAATCTTCCTGTAAGAGTGCCTTCATTAATTTCCTGTCAAATTCTCTTGTGACTTTAGTTGAAATTGTTGACTTTTTCAAAATCAAGTAGTCACGTAGGCTTCCTTGATAACAGGCTTTTCTAGGAAAATCTGCCAAATTGTTCATGGGCTTTTTGAGAGAAATGGTAGTTTTTTGGAGACTGGGCCCAATTCAATTCTTCTTTCGTCTCTGCTTAATTGTAACTGCCATTTAATTTGGCGTTTTTTACAATTCCGCCATTTTCGAAAAAGTCGTGGGTTTCCGATGTGGATTGGGCTTTCTCTTTTTTGGTAATCGAAGCCCAGTCCTCTCCTCTGTCCCTTTCTGTTTTGTGGGCCTTCATGGGAAGTGGGCTTGGCATGCGATTTCTTTTGGCCCAAACATCATCTTCTCTTCACAAACCCTAAATACGGTATACAAATAGTGGCTTGTGGGTCGTCAATTGAGGTATGTAATGTGATATTATTTCTTGGTTTGGGACTCCTCCCAGAATTATTGAGGATGTTGTGATTAAAAACTTGTTGTAATTCTGAGGTTGATGTGAACTTAGAGTGGTGAAGGGCAAGATAGTGGGGTGTGTGAGTTGTGAGGTTGTTTTTTTTTTTTTTTTTTTTTTTTTTTCTGCTAGGTGTGTATTTAGGGATAGTTTGGGAAGATAGTGGGGTTTTCTTAGAAATTATTAAAATTTGAATTAGAAGTTGAGGTGAACAAAGAGAGATGCATGGTTTAAATAGAAAAACTCATATTTTATGATTCGTCTTAAAAGACTCTTTCGTGTATGGTCACAACACGTGTAACATTATTTTCTTCTTAAATACAATTTGTTGCTTTATGATGTATTTATTGTGCTTTCTACTACTCATACCGTAGCTATTTTTTTAAGATAGAAATTGGTACATTGAAGTCTTTGTTCAACTGGTTAGAAGAAAAATGTAAAACTGATCAACAGATGATCATATATAACAAAGATGTGTATAAATACTGTAAGAAAAGTAAGTGTTCATGTCTTTTTAATTTTTGCAGAAATACATATTAGTCTTCATGTCTCCCTAAAGGTGTGTGTAAGTGTAAAAAAAATAAATGGAGAAATTATGGAAATAGAAAAATAAAAAATATACTGCAGCACAAACTTTCCAGTTTTCTTCTAGAGGCTTGGCATTTCATGTAAGTAATTTTTTTACTCATAGGCCGAAGCCGCCAGTTGAAGCAAACACTGCAAGACAACAGTGACCAAAGATATTAATCTGCCACAAAATAATGCATCCAATGTCCAAACCTGTCAAGTTCTCGATTTTTCTTCTGGCGTTTTCTCCTGGATGTCTTGTGTGGTAGGGGAAAAAACATTATTTGGCTCTTAAAAGCTATCCGCACAACCCACAAGCTTCTTTATCTGGTAGGAGCAAAAAGCATTTCTATATGTATTTTCTGTATATATAACAAGCCTATATATCTTTCATCTTCATTAGGGTTCAGGGCCTAAGGCTAACAAAAAATGTGGTCACCATGGTGGGATGCTAGCAATATTGAGAAAGATGGCCATCTCATGATGACCAGAGCAATATTTCTCACCATTTCAGCCATGGCGGTTGCTATGTTCTGGTTCATGTGGAACTGGAAAAGCTCAAAAAACCCAACACCTCCATTGCCACCAGGTCCTCGTGGCCTGCCATTTGTTGGGAGCCTTCCCTTTTTAGGCCCCAACCTTCACCACGAATTCACAAACCTGGCAAGTGTTTATGGCCCTATCTACAAACTCCAACTTGGTAGCAAATTATGCTTTGTGCTCTCTTCGCCATCACTTGTGAAACAAGTGGTTCGTGACCAAGACACCCTCTTTGCAAATCGTGACCCTATAATTGCTGCACAGATTATCTCCTACGGAGGAACCGACATTGCCTTCGGATCCTACGGTCCAGGTTGGAGGAGGTTGCGCAAGGTGTTTGTGAGCCACGTGATGAGCAAAGGCAACCTTGATGCTTGTTATGCTCTGAGAAAAGAGGAAGTTCTCAAGTCAATTGATCATATTTATGGCAAAAGTGGCAGCCCAATTGATTTCGGGCAGGTTGCATTTTTACAGCAATCAAAACAATCATGAGAATGTTGTGGGGTGGGACTCTGGAAGCAGAGAAAGGGACTGATCTTGGGGCAGAGTACAGAAATGTGGTGGCTGAAATGGTGGAGTTGATTGGGAAGGGAAATATTTCCGACTTTTTTCCTTGGCTTGCCAGGTTTGATGTGCAAGGAATTGCGAGGCGTGCGAAGCAGCTTCTATCTGTGACTGAAAAGATTCTCAACTCTGCCATTGAAAAGCAGATGAGTGAGGCAGCAGAGCAAGATGGGGGGCTATCGCTAAAGCATGAAAGGAAAGGCTTTCTGCAGTTCCTGTTGGAGCTTAATGAGCATGTAGATGATGCAGAATCGCTTACTTTGCAACAAATCAAGGCCCTGCTCACGGTACTGTATTCTTATCTTTTGGTTTGTAGTTTGTTGGCAGTCAACCAGGTGCCATTGACGCATGTGAGCGATTTCTAGCCATTGACACATGACTTTTGCCTTACTTTTGGCAACACTTAATGCATTAATACGGTCAGTATTCGCATATGCATGCGTGAGAGACTCACCATATAATATCCTTCTTGTGATGATAAATAAACTTCGCTGATATGCCTCTATGTGCATCCTATCAATTTATTTTCAAGAGCAAATTTTGATGTAAAAATTCTAACACAAGGGATAGTAAGAAGTAAATAAAAATGCAACAAATCTTTTTTTTGAACTTTTTAACAGTTTGATAATTTTGAACAGGACATTGTGGTTGGTGGAACTGACACCACAGCAACAATGGTGGAATGGGTAATGGCTGAGCTGATGCAACACCCAGATGACCTGAAAAAAGTTCAACAAGAACTGAAAGAAGTTGTGGGGTTGAAAAACTTGGTTGAAGAGTCTCATATACCCAAATTACATTATTTAGAGGCCGTGATTAAGGAGACATCTAGATTGCACCCTGCTCTGCCTCTTCTGGTTCCCCATTGTCCAAGTCAATCCACCACCATTGGAGGCTTCAAAATACCAAAAGGTTCAAGTGTTTTTTTAAATGTTTGGGCCATTCACAGAGACCCTAATGTTTGGGACAATCCCTTGGAATTTAGGCCCAAGAGGTTTCTCAATGATCCTCGCAGCAACAACATTCATTACAATGGCAATAAGTTGGAATATCTTCCATTTGGTTCTGGGAGAAGAATGTGTCCTGGGATTCCCTTAGCAGAGAGGATGATGATCTATGTGTTGGCTTCATTTTTGCATTCATTTGAGTGGAGGTTGCCCAATGATGCAAAGCTTGACCTTCAAGACAAATTTGGGATTGTGACAAAGAAAATGACTCCATTAGTTGTCATTCCAACACCCAGGTTATCTAAATTGGAGCTCTATACTTAGATTTATTTTCATTCCCTCTGGAAAGATGCAGCATGGAATAAGGTAATTTGTACACCTAAAGTGCACCACCACCAGCTGAGCAAATGAGCAATTTGAAGCACTTACAATGGTTTTTCTGGCAATGGGAGGTGCAGCTGCACCTCCTTGCGCCTTTATAGGTCCACCATTGCATATATGCATTGATGCTCTTGGTTCAATTGTTTCCCCATAATCCTTATTATCTTATAATAAATGGAGGAAATAGGACTTGGTGTGGTTTGTCTCATGTCACGAGTGATACCTTGTGATTTATTTTGTTGCACTATATTAGTTACTTTTTTGTTAACAGATAGTTTAAACTTCAAAAAGAATTAATAAACAAAAAAGAACATCTTGAATAATGTCATAAGGTTCTTCACACCGCAACATATCAACCTCAAGAGATAGACGGTGGGTGGTTAGTTCATAAAAAAAATAAGGTTCAAAGCACTTCCTCGAGTATTTACTTCCAATTTGAAATTCTTGAATATGAACATTGTATTATTGTATTGAGGACACTACCTATATAGTAAATGATAATTTTGTAACATGGTTACAGCACAAATAGGATCATGACAGAACTGGCTCCACTTTAAAGATCATATTTCGATTTCGCTTTTGATACTTTAAACTATAGAAATAATTTAATTAGGTTTGGAAAGCACAAGTGCAAACTTAGTTTATCTCAACATAATGATATCTAGTTAAACATAGGACTTCGGGTGCAGAAATTCAAGAATATAAATTATATGACGGTATTACGGTCTCATTCAAATTCAAAAATTACTGAAATAGAGACAAGAATAAGGTTAAATAACGTACCACTAAAACTAGTGGTATATTAAATATCAATATAAGAGCCTTGGAATCTTCAAGTGAGATTCCATCATCACTAAATCTAATTTCTTACATAATGGCCTCTGTACATAATGTAGATTCCCACCAACTCCAATCATCGATCTTTTATTCTTGGCCACATCGGTTTCAGTACAACTTCTTGTTAGTCGTTACATCAAGCTGATTTCATCCAAGCCCTAAATTGGCACATTTTTGAGGTAACTTTCTACAAGTAGCTGATCAGAAATATCTTTCGAGGCACTTGATGTTCATTGCTTAATTAAGCTGAAGCAGCAGCGACGCAAACAGGCAGATCTGTCTCAACATTAGGTGGAGTTCGAAGTATGGGGTTGCTCTCAAAGAAATTCACAGGCTTTAGGTCAAAGCTAGATGACACCGTCGGCATTATAGGGAAGTCTTCTTGACATGGTATGTGATGAAACCCTAATGTGTACCAGAGAACAATATCCTTGTTCTCGATTGGCCGGTCCCTGCAAAATCAAAATCATAAATTAGATACTATTTCTGTAAAAAAATATGACCAGTAAATATGATACAAATAAATTAGACGCTCACCTGTCAGACCAGACGGCCAGGGTATCTTCACCTTGACTTTGGCAAACGAGCAGCCCACCAGCCCATTGCTCACTCCTATTGTATGGGGTAACCCAAATTTGATTGTTTGTAAAAGCACCTCTCTTTTGGGGAGGGTCATCTAGATCAAGCAAGCTAGCAGCAGTGCCACCAGGGACCAATTTATACCCGACCGGGTTTCCGACCCGGGTCCTTTTTGTGGGGTTGATCACATGGAATTCGGATGGGTCATAGAGTTTTAGCTTAACCTGTGCATCTTTTTCTGTTTTGGCCACGGTTTTAGTAGCTTTCAAGTAGCTTTTCCTTGGTGACTCATTTGGAGAGTTTTGCTCCCTTTGGAGATTCACTTTCAGAAAAGAGTTATCTGAGCCGTCCACGTCCATATCAAGATAAAATGTGACGTAATGGTCATGAATAACGCCAATAACGTTTTCTGACAAGAGTGTTCCGTGGAGATTCTCTGGGCTAGACACTTGGTTCACATTCTCATAGGAGGTGCCTTTCACCATCAAAATCCCACTCAGTCCAACCTGCATACGCATATATATATATATATATATTGAAAAATGTTAGAGAAAAGCTATACCTGCTGCTTGGGTGACTTTTAGTCGTTGATATTCACGACACATTAGCAACGGTATAACCACTAATCGATAGTATTAACAATAATTTATGGCATCAAGATTAAAAGAAGAAATGATGCAAGCAATTTAAGAACCAAAAGAAAATTGACCAAGCCTATTATATATTCATATATTCATGATATTTCTGACTATTAGTGTAATTTAGACTATCACTTATTTTTATAAAAAAATATCACCAAGCCACTAACCTTGGCTCTGATTAGTCCATCTGTTTGAAACTCCCAGTCGATGATATAGTCATAGTTAGCCACTGATGCTGCCATTCTGACCACTAAAGTCACCTTCGGCCTTACTTCTCTAATCTGCCAAACACTCACATAAGTAGGGCCCACTTTATAGACCGTATTTTCAACAAAACTAAAATAAAGTTCAATTGCATGATGTCATGACGAGTCTAATTTCTACTAAAAAAATTAATAAATAAATATGATACGTGTAGCATTACTCTTTTGAAAGTTTTTGGACTTGAGTTTCTTACCTGCATACCCGTTATCGGACATTCTGTGTGCCGCCACGCGATATCACCCGCATAGCTCTCGAACACACAAACCATGTTCGATCGGACGTACGGTGTTCCATCAGCTGCTGCAAACACACCATCCATATAATAGGCATTGCGTGGGCAATCATTAAGCGGCTCAAGAGGCATGGCCTGCAATCCGAACCCATATTCGCCTGCATCCATATAAGTCTTGAAGTACCATGCATCAGTGGGGTCCATGTAAGGCACGAACAACTCCGACGTAAACCCTTTGTACATCACATCCCTAAATTCCCCCGTATTCGGGTCACGGACTTTGGCCCGGGACACGATCACACCCGCCCGGGCATCGGGTTTCAAGTGAAATTCCCAATTTGCCCATTTGACCAAGTGATCATCCTCCACAGTAAAACTCCGCCCATTGGGCTGCTCTATGGATATGGGCTTCAGCAGCTTGAGAACTTCATTGGGCTTGTGGGCCGAGTACCTATAGTCTGTGTTGGCGGCCTTTGGTATGGGGATGCTCCCGCCCTTATCCGAAATCTCCAACACTTGTTTGGTGTCCAAGTCAACCAGCACAGTCAACCCTTCGATTGGCCTCATGTAGAAGTTCACAGTATCCTTGGTGGAGTAGCACTGCACCTTAATCAACCTCCTTTTCTCCTCCACCTTGCCGTACCACCCCGTGGAAAGCGGCAGGCAAGCCAGATCCGTCAGATCAACCCCGCGCTGGACGATCGTGCGGTTGAAATCCGCGTTCATAAGCGGAACCCACGTGGCCGCGGTCATCTCCTCCAGGGTCATCGTCGGGTAACCGGTGTCGGAGGCGGTGTCCTCCACGGTCACCTCGCGGGTAGTCAAGTCAACGGTGAGAACGTGCGACATGTCATCCACACGCGCGACGACGGTGGCCTTTCTAGGAAAGAGGGGGTCACCGTGGTGCCAGCGGAGGACGAGGGACTTGTCGGGCTCTTGGAGGTCGACGGAATGGAGCGCGTGGGAGGAGGAGGAGGCGAAGAGCGCATGGGAGGAGAGGATGGAGCGGACGGCGGTGATCTCTGGGAGAGTGAGGGGGTCGAGAGGGTGGTGGGGGGTGTCGGAGGCGTGGTCGCGGAGGCGGCGTGTGGGGCTGGGGGGTTTGGACTGGAGGCGGTTTTTGGAGGAGCACCAGGCTGAGTTGGTGGAGCAGTCGAGGAGGTCGGCGGCGTAGGGGGGCCCGTAAGGGAGGTGGGCCCAGGTGAAGAGGAGGGCTACGGCTATGCAGAGGGTGAGAAAGAAGAAACGCAGAAACCTTCTGGTGTCCATGGGAGCTTTCTCCACCTGAAGGCTCTGTTTGAGAGTGAGTGTGAAAGTTAGAGCTGAGATTTGTTGGTTGGCTTGTTTGAGTATTAATATAATATAGAGAAGTAGCTGCTTGCTAAGGTAAGGATAAGGATGATGGCATGAGAAAGATTCCAAATATTTGAGAGAATCAGTACGTGACAATTATAAACTAGTCTAGTAGGCAAAGTCGCCTCTTGTTGTGCATACTGATCACACATGCACTTGCGCATACTGCATAGTGACGTAACTTACTCTTTTTGCCCTTTTTCTTTTTTCTTTCTTAATAATACACTAAAGCCTGTCAAGATATTTACATAATTGCGTGTTTAGTAAAATTTTAAGTTTCGTATGGAGCCCTCAAATTTTCAGAGTCGGCCCAGTTGTATAACACTAACTTAGTTGCAACGTTGTATTAAATTATTGTGACGCGAGTTACATTGAAAATTATTAGTCATTTGATTATTGATATGATCATTTCTATTATTATATAGGACACCATTTAAATCTTGTGATCAGTGACTATTGGGAGACACCACATGTCCGTGCTTAAGGGGAAAAAAATTGTTTTTAAAAAAAAGGCAGCATTTTTTAGGTGCCAATTAATCTTTATAATTAATTATTGACACGCTGATTCAAGAGGCAAAGAAGAAAAATACTGGGAAAAAAAAAATTACCATGCATTGGTTTTATCTACAGGAGTTAGTGGGGGCGGTCGCATACGACAGGAGGGCTCGTATATTCTGAAGATTCCGTGTTCGCTTTGATGAGAAAAGTAATACCAACAAAAAGTCATTGTTGAAGGCGCCGAATCATCGAAACGACGACGAATGAGGTTGAGCAGTCGGCCTCCCCACTGACTTCGCACGCACCCAAATCATCAAAAGCAATCAATAATTGATTAATCCCTTTTGTAAAGTTTAGAAATTGAATGGCATTGGTTTTTATTTGTTTACACTATGACAAATTTAAATCAAATGGGCCTCGGATGAGTCATGACTTGGTCTGCTAACGGGCTTTTTGAGAGTCATTATAGTGTTTTCTTCGCTACTTATTAGGTCATTTCCAACCCAATGACCTAAACTCAAAATATTGCTCAAAATCTTTCTCAACCCAAAAAAATGAAGGATCTAAAATTTGAGAAAATCCAAATATGGGTCCAAGTATTGCCTAGACCCAATACTATTCAATGGAGCCCACTGCACATCTCAAACAGCCTCATATGCAAAAATTATAACGTGAGGCCCACCTCCAAATTTGCAAC